AGGCAGGTCACAGCATTGATGCCACCACCAGCACCACCCCAACAGGGTCTGATTGAACAAAGATTGACCCAGCAAGATGAAAAAGTTGCAGCTTTGGAGCACAAGCTCGAGGCCATGCAAGGTGCTCAAAACAAACAAGCAGAATCTATTCAGCAAGTGCAGCAGGAAATCGCAATGACAGAACAGCGCCTTGCCAAAACCATGTTCCAGACCATGGACCAAATGAAAAACGAGTTGAATCAGACATTTGGTGATGCGTTAACTGCCCAAAACAAGTCATTCGAAGCCAACCTGCTAGCCTTGCAGAAGGCGATCACAACCACAAAGCGCAAAGACCGGCCAAAGGAGCAGGAAGACATGTCCGACTCCTGAAAAATGGTCACACCAGAGCATTTAATTCAATTTGCACACAAGCCTGGCCTGGAGGATGCTCCTTGTATGTTGGTTTTGTACATTCCGCTCAACAGCAAAGCATCTGTCGGTCAATTTATCAGGTTGCAATTTTGCCGCCCTTATGAGATCACTGTCACTAGGACACAGTGTGACGTCCTATGGATGCTAAGTTTTCGTCCATATAATCCATGTATAGGACACCATGCCATGTGTTGCCATTTTGCGGTGTCACATCAAGCCTTGCCTACTCACGTAGGCAGAGTAATCCCGTTGACATTGTTCCGACTTTCGACCCAATGCCATCAGTTCACTCCAATGCTGGGGTGTGCAGAACGTATTGGTGAAGCAAAAAATCCAGGGCCAAACGGTATCCCTTCATGTCTTCTCAATATGATCGTTGCTAATCCGACCAGTGTTGCAAATAAAAAAGTAACATTCCAGCAGTTGTTTGAAGCCGTTGATGCACAAGTCCTTTGCCTTGCGGAAACATCAGCAACAGCAGAAGTCCAAAAAACTGTGTCAAAAGAAATGTCCGTCCAACAGTGCAAGTGTTTTTGGAGCCAGCCAGTGCCACCCCAAAGAATATGCCAAAATGGAGAACCCAGTGTCCGCGGCCGAGCAGGGGGCACAGCAGTCATATCCAAGATACCCATGCGATACTGCAAAAATCCTTTACCTGATGCATGGCAAACCTCCAATCGTTTGGTTCACACCATCACCCAATTTGGACACACGCATATCCAAGTAATGGTTGTGTATAGTATCCCCCAAAATCATGCCGGAGCTAAGGAGTTCCTGAACCAACTTCTCGATGCCGCTCTCACCCAAGTCATGATGGTGCCCCTCCCATACATCATTTGTGGTGATTTCAACATGGAACTTGAAGGACTCCCGATATGGCAGGAGTTCTTGGCCAAAGGTTGTAAAGACTTGATAGGACTGCATGATATAAGATATGGTAAACCGATGCCACCGACATGTCAAGGATCCACGCGTCCAGACAATGCAATCCTTTCACATCATCTCATTTCTACCCTTGGCCATATTCAGGTGCTTTCGGATACATGGTTTGCCACACATGCACCGGTGATGTTTTCTTTGCAATTGCCTAAACCAGACCTATTCCGCCAGAAAATAAAACTGCCTGAAAGCTGGGTGGCACTTGACATCACTGCAGAGGAACTGACACAAGCAGCACGACAAGTCAACGACTTGCCACAAACACTGGAGGAATGGGGGCATCATGTTGAACAACTTGTAGATGTTGCTGTCCGTGATCACCACCAAACAACGGGAATTGGATTGCCACACTTGCCAAAACGTTTCCGTGGCAGATGTCAGCCCCGTAAAATTGTCAATGTACCAGTCTATAGTGCAACTAAGACTGCAAGATGTGGTGAGTACAATCCCTTGTTTGAAGTTTCTACGATGCGTACCAAACGACGTGTCAAACAAATGCGTCGGCTTCAGTCACTGTATCGCCGTATGGGGAAGCATGACAGTCTGCAGACAGATCATCCAAAGCACCAACAGATGGTTGAGGAATGGACAGCCATTCTCAGATGCACCAGCTTTGGTATGCCTTTTTGCAGATGGGTGCAATGCCAACCCGAACTTGGACCAGCCCCTTGGCCACTTCCCAGTCAGGCCTGGCTAGCGCAAGCATGCCAATATGTTAAACATATAGTGAACATCAATGTAGCCGAAGATCAGCAAACATTCCGCCACAAAGTGGACTATGCCAGATCCTGTGACAAAAAATTTCATAGTTCTTCCATGGCATTTCGTACCATTAAAGAAGCCCCTCCGTTACCAATCACGGAAGTGTATATTCCTACTCAGGTACAAGTGCATTTGACCTGGCAGAATGACAATGTTGTCACGTGTTCCAACTTCGATCCAGAAGTGGTGTGTACAGGGTCTCCAGTGCGCATTGATAATTCACTCGGGTGGATAACTGCCAAAGATGAAACCACAATCCGTGTACAGTTTCACACAAGCCCAGCTGAAAAACCTGCAGTTGCCAAACTGACTCAAGAACAATACCGCATTGAGCCCCACCAAGTTGCGGAACAACTCACACAATTTTGGCAACCACTGTGGCAAGCACCCCATGATATCCAGCCGGAGGATTCTTGGCAAGCTTTCCAGACTTACCTTGATTTGCTACCGAAGCCGCCCAAGGCGTTTGTTGCAGATAACTCCCTTGATGCATGGTTAATTGCCATTAGGAAACTCAAAACGAGTTCTGCAAAAGGACATGATGCCATCACAGCCCAGGAACTCAAGCTTTTACCAGCTGCCACCATTGATCTCTTGCGCAGAGTGTGTGATCAATACTCGGATGGGTTCCCAGCGTGGTTGATGACAGCTAGGGTGTGTCCTCTTAACAAAACCCAGGGAACCCCCATGGCCAGTCAAAGCAGACCCATTTGCATTCTCAGTCAAAGCTATAGGGTGTATTCCGCAGTGTGGTGCTCACAAGTTTTGAAGTTTTGGGGCACGTGGTTTCCTCCCTCAATTTGTGGTATGTTGCCAATGAGAGGCTCTCACAATGCGGGTTATGGGGCACAGGTGCAACTTGAAAAGGCCATCCTTTCTAAGCAGCCTATTTCTGGAATCACTCTGGACCTTATGAAATGCTTTAACTGCATTCGCCAAGAAGCCGGATGACGTGCTCTGCTAGCCCTAGGACTTCCCAAGGAACATGTCCATCAGTGGTATCATAGCATTCAGAAGTTGCAAAGATACTGGGAAATTGATTCTAGCAGCCATGGGCCCGTTCTGGCCACATGTGGATTTCCAGAGGGCGACTCGCACTCCGTGCTTGTCATGCTAGCCATCGCTCTGACTTGGAATGCCAGCCTCCAGGCTTTGCTTTTGCCAACATTGCAAAGCACCTCATATGCGGATAACTGGTCTTGGTCCACAACACATCCACAACACCATGGAGCGATTGCCACAAGGACACTTGAGTTTACTGCACTCTGTGGACTCAGAATAGACTGGAACAAAACCTGGTTGTGGGCCACTGAAAATGCCGTGGCTGCTGAGGCACAAGACGTACTGTATGAAGCATTGCCAAATGAAGCTATTCAACGCCTTCACCATGCGAGGGACCTGGGCTTTGAATTGCAGTACTCCGGTCCTCACAGGCTTGGCCATCGAAAAACCCGTATTGACAAAGGCATCCAACGCTTGGAAAAACTACAGATCATGACATATGAACTTGATGTCAAAGAAAAGATGCTTTTTTCCAGCATTTACCCTGCGGCATTTTACGGGTCTGAACTATTTCCAGTTGCAGAAGATGTGCTATCCAAAATTAGAAGCCTTGCAGCCGATGCACTGTTTGGTAAATCTCCTTCAATGTCACCCGGGATAGCGCTTTTCTTGACAAAACCGGCAATTCTGGATCCTGCGTTTTATGTCATGGCCTTAGCCTTTCGCACTGCCATGCAATGGGTTGCACTTCAAACACCGGCCATGCAAACAAGTTTTTTCACCACTGCGGCGCAATTCCAAGGTTCCACAGCGCAGGTCAAAGGACCTGCCACTGCGCTGAAACGATATTTAACCAAACTGTCATGGACCATGGACTCAGCAGGCAATGTCCATGCAGATGCACTTGTGTCCGTCAATTTGGCCACAGACAGTTTTCACAGAGTTTATAAGTTTCTTGAGCTGGCCTGGCAACAAGACTTGATAAAGAACCTTACATCGCGCTACAGCCTTTTTAGCATGCCAGATATCGCTCGTGACGATACCCTGCTTGTTTTGAAAAAAATTTCCACCAAAGAAAGAAAGCAACTCACCCGTGAGATAGCCGGTGCGTTCCAGTTAGAGACACAAAAGGCCCATTGGGCCGAAGGTGCCAGTGGACTGTGCAAATTTTGCCAGCAACCTGACAGTCATGCCCACAGATTGCTTCATTGTCCAACATTTGAGGACACACGTTCCATGCATGCGACAGCACTGCGGCAAATGGAAGATGAAGGAGCGGAATTCGACAAACTGCCAGCCATCACTGTGCATCCTATGGCTGCTATGCACAGGGCACTGCATTTTCAACAGCCTCCTCCAGTCATAGCGCAGGAGTTCACACAATTTGCAGACTGCATCCTGCGTATGGACAGGGAATACCACATGTACATAGATGGGAGTTGCGTTTTTCCAAGCTCCCCCACAACTCGATACGCCGCATTCGCGGGGGTGATGGACATGGCCAGGGATGACGACCATAGGCGTTCACTTGCGGAGCAATTCAAGGTGCGGGGCATTGTGCCCCCAACACTTAGGCCATGCTTTGCCGGGCGGGTTATAGGAGAACAAACTATTAACCGCGCAGAGTTGTCAGCACTCATCCAAGCGGCTATGTTCTCGCGAGCCATCCTGCACACGGATAGCCAGTATGCATGCAATATGGCACAGGAAGTTGCCCAACACAAGCCAATCGGACCACAATGTGCCAATAGAGACTTGCTCACAGCCCTTCGTGCCGCACACATCGACCCAGCCAGGGTTCGAAAAATTCGAGCCCATCAAGACTTGGCGGGAATCACAGACTTGTTGCAACTCTACCATGCTTTGGGTAACACCATAGTAGATGAAACTGCAAAAAGAGCGTGCCAAGATCTTGCCAAGCCGTGGCAAGCTGAGTTGCAGGCTTTTCATAACCAGATTCAGTATGAGCGTGACTTGTTGCATGATGTTTACCTGTTATATTTGGAACTCAGCACAGCCCGTAGCGTTGCTGAAAAACAGTTGACCCGACAGGAAGACACCACCCTGCCACCAGCGGCGAAGGTGCCAGATGACAAAATCATGTTGGCCGTTGCCAATTGGCAGCCAGATGACGTTTTTGCCATGCAGAAGCCTGCCACCATGGAGTGGACACCGTTTTTTTCATGGGGCAGCGACCTTGCAATGAAAATTGTTGCGTGGATGGAGCAAATACGATGGGTCAGTGAGGGACAGGGTCCGCTTGAGAAGGAGATGGGGATCTCCTGGCTCGAACTAGCCCTAAGTTTTTCTATGTCGATTCAACGTGCTTTGCCAATTTTGCGTAAAAATAACTTGGGACAAACTAGGTTGCTTCATGTGGAGGACCAAGCTGATGTTGCTGCACACAGTGTGACTTTGAACGACCTGGCAGCCACCTTCCAAAAAATGTGGTGTCAGGCCGAAATTTGGATCACTAAGGATGTTTTTCCCCCAGCCAAAAAAGGACTTCAACCGAGCTTGTTTTTGCAACACTTCAAACAATATACCAGTGGCATTAGTCCACGACCTGTCATTCCATACCAGCGTGAGGTGGCGCAATTTGTTTTTAAATTCTTGGTGAATAAATCAAACTACGATTTGATGCTGGACGCGGCGTGGAGCCAACCGAGAACAAAACCTTTGCAAGATCTCAACTGGACACAGATATGTGACAGGTTGAAAACAACGAGGCGCACTTGGAAGACATGAAGCTCTCGCAAAGCGAGAATGGTATCACTAAGGTCTACCCGCCGAAATGGCGGAGCTTCAAGGACACAGTGCTCACCTTCCGCTGCTGCTGGGGGTGGGCACTCAAAACAAGGAAAGGGGCCGCAAGATTCAGGTTAGTGAAATATTATAATTTGCCCAGATATAATGGGATATGTTAATATCCACTAGATTTCTCCACAGTTATCATCATATAATGGGATAAATCCCAATATCATAACACCATTTAATATTGTGATATGATGGGATGTGTATATATATATAACTTATATATAATGAATCATAATCATGATGGTCATAATGGTCAATGATAGGAGATATCGCCGACGCATGGCGATACAATTAGATTAGATACTATGGAAATATATCACCCTCTATCCTCCAATATTTCACACGGCCTTTCTGAAAACATCATCCATTTAGTTCGATGTACCATCCACATCCCAGTTTTGGGTTCGAAAGGGTGTTCATTTCAGTTTCTCCATGGGCTTGCGTTTTCTACTCTGGCAAAAGCAAGAATGTCCATGTTTTCACAGATTACCATCTGGCTGGTGGTTTCCATTATACACTTTACATTGAAACACATTTGGGATTATGTTGACTATATTACATCTTCTTTGGGATGAAACCCCAACCAAATATGTCCCGTGCCAGAATCGAAAGGACACTTTAGAGGAAACCCTAGAAGTGCAAGGAAATGAGCACAAAACCATGGTTTCCTCCATTTTCCTCTTAAAAAACACCATAACCACTTCCATCAAAAAAAAAGTACAGCAACATGTAAATAGCAATTCCAAATATAGATGAATCCTTTTCAGCAAGTTGGACACCTAGAAAGTTATGTTATATTTTGAAGTAAATCTGATCCAAAACATCCTGTGGATGGGCTAGCGAAATCCGAATCACCAGTTGATAGATGATAAACATCCCATTATTTATAGGGTTTCAACATGTTTCAACCATCCGGGTGGTGGATTTCGCAACCATCCACAGTAGGAACACTTCGGTCATTTTTGTTTTGGATCTCGGAAGCCTAAACCCTCAGGGCTATGCCGTGGACTTTTCCTTGGGCAAAGCTTTGCACCAGCGCCCCGGCCGGATACATAGGGATACCGTAATATACCGGTAATGGCTGACATAGCTATTGAACATGGCCCATTGAAATAGTTGATTTACCTATTAAAAGATATTAAAAGATGGTGATTTTTCCATAGTTATGTTAGTTTACCAGACGGTATGAAACCCTCTGTAAATACAACATAGCCAACCCTCTAGTAATTTCTTACAAACTGGCAGCCATGACCACTTAGTTCTTTGATTTACCGTTCTTCAACATAGTGATTGTCCAGTTCGCAAACTATTAGTTCAACATAATCATAGTTATACCCCCTACCTTTGTTAACCAAGTTGCTTGCGTCAACTTAGCTAACTGTAAGGAGCCCCTTTCTGTATACAGCTAGTTCTGTAGATGATTTTAGCTCGACTTTAAGAAATTTGTAGAGGATCTTAATTTTAGCGATGGGAATGCGTCATATGTACTTGGCAAATAATAAAACATATTACTTGTGATAGTTACACCATCTTTTCAATTCATGGTGTTTTTACCATGGTTTTTACCATGGTTATGATTCCATCCATTGTGGAATCATCCTGGTGGATGCTTTTGTAGATGTCCTCTGGATTTCGCCAGGACCTTGACCTTCGTCGAGGATGGAGATGTGCCAACTCCAGGTCGTCCATGATTCGCTGGGGAGATCACCATTTGAACATGGGAATATCCATGGGTTTTTATGGTATACCCTCTGGTAATTTGTTACAGTTTGCGAACTGGAAAATGATTTTATGGCCCATAGAAATAGATTATTGACCTATTAAAGATTGTGATTTTCAATAACAAACTGGTACTTTACCAGAGGGTAGTTCTAACAATTTCTTACCCATATTCCAGGGATGAACGCTTGGTAGAAGATTTTCTGAATATGGGAGTGTTCCCTTTAGAATAGATAGCCAGTTGGCTGATCCAATATTTCAATAGCTTAGTAGAACCCAAAAAATACCCTAAAATCCAATATCTGAATATATAGTTATCTGAAAATAGTAGAAATCAAATGTTCTTGAATAGTGCAATCTCAAAATGATGTATACCCCCAAATGGGTATTAAACATCGGGAAACTGATCATTCTCCAATGGATTTAGAGCTACGCTATGCCGCTATTTTCAGACAACCCATATCATTGCGTTGGTTTATGATGTTAATACATATCCTATTATATATCCCATTATATATCCTATTATGATTATCCTATTGTTAGTATATATCCCATTCATACTCCGTTAAATGAATCCCATTATCCATGAATGAATCCCATCCCCTTAATACCCGGGGACGCGATCAACTGCATGAAAAATGCTCGTTTAACAAAAATCTGGGCAAATTATAGCGACCTCACGTCGTGACCTCACTGGAATCATGGTTTTTATATGTTCACATACATACATACATACATACATACATACATATGTATATTAATTTTCCCTACACATATACACATACATATATATATATATGTATATCACTTTTCTTTAGACATGGGTTCCTAACCGGTTGTAGTGGCAGGTGAGAAACTCGCCGAGGTGTGCCGCGGCCTTGGCGGGTATCCACAATACTTGGAACTAAAAAAAACTGGTGAATCTACTGAAAAATGGGATATTAATGGTATATTAATGGTATATTAATGGGATATTAATCGGATATTAACCATAAATGGGATATTAACTAAAACTGAAAATTTAATCTATATTTATGGCATATTAACCATGAAACATATAGATATAATGGGATATTAACCATGTTTCATAGAACCATAGGACTGGAATGATTGGTTTTTCGATGACGAGCATCGACGATTTTTTGGGGAAAAAAAAACAGATGGACCAAAAGAGTTGGGGGTTTCTGATGGTCTTGGATGTTTTGTGTAGCAAACCATCGGTATCAGTTTTTTTGGTTTGACGGACACAACAAAACACAATTTTTGCAAGACTCAACTGATCTTGTCGGATACTGTTTGTGCTTCAATGCCAGGTGTTTGCATGAAATATTCAATTGGAAGAAATAAAATTTGAACTTGCACTGTCCATATGTTTAGGGCCATGCTATTATAATTTTGCAAAATCATCTTGCACTTGAACAAAATTGAATTTGGAGTTTTGACAGTAGCCATTTCTATTCGAACAGCTAGGGAAACCCATTTCCATCCACTTTCTGAACAAACAGAGCTCAGTTGGGACAGAGAAATCTGGCGAAATTCTGCAGAAATTCTGAAGTTCAAGGAGAACACCCCAGACACCTCATTTGATCAAGATGTTTTTTCTTTGGTAGTGAAATGGGTGTTTCTCAAAAGAGATACCCAAGTCAACCACGGGTTTCAATACTAAAATTGTCTAACGACTGGATGATTTGGAGGGTAGCCTCATTTTAGGAATCCAACATGATTGTTTGATTGAAAATTTGCCAAAGATTGGACACGCTGGTCATTTAGAATTCATAAAATGTGATCAGAAAAAACACATGACATCTCGCCATTTCTGTAGTTTTTGCTTAACTGTTTGCCCCTAATTTTCGAAGCAAAAAACCGAAAAACTGCACCAAGGTTTGTATGTGGTGTCCATGGAGAAGCTGAAAACGGCCTATGAGAAGTGCTCCGAGGTGAGGCACCCAGTTTTCCCCAGTGACCTCGTTGCTAACGGCTGGAGCTTTCCATAGTCCTGGTACCAAAAAAATAGTTGGATGGTTTATATATCATGGAAGATCCTATTATATAAAATGGATGAGAACTGGGGGTACCCCTATTTTAGCTAATTTTAGGAACCCCCCCCCCATATGGTATATGTATCACATGTATTCATATTATCCATTTTCCATGCATATCCCAATCGTATTCCATGAGAATTGTACCGTTAATCCAATTAGATGCAACACTAGCAAGTGTGGAAGAACATTGGGTGTGTCTGAAAATGGGGATACCTCCAAAATAGCAGTTTTAATAGATGTTTTTCATTGGGAGTATAATCATCAAGTATCAAGTTTAGGAGTACCTTATTTTCAGACAAGTAACCCATTAGTACATACCACAGTTATGGAATATCCCGAATTCTTTATGGCTTATGCATGGGTCCATATCATAGGGTTGGTTTATCGTGTTGATTATATATTCCATTGAATATCGGCTTCATAGTCCATTAGATATGCACATTTAAAAAGTCCATCATTCATATTAGTTACACCCCCTACTGTAATTATATACCCTCTGGTAAACTAACATAACTATGGAAAATCACAATTTTCAATGGGAAAATCCTCTATAAATGGTCATTTTCAATAGCAAACTGTTAAATTACCAGAGGGTAAATGGTCCGAAGTAGGTGGTTTCATCCCTACTTTTTACCATGTTTTTTTTAAATGAAGCAGCGGACGGATTGACCATGAAAAAATGGAGATGCCAAGCATAAAATGATTTTCAGAAAGCTGCTTAGCAAGTCCACCACTGCCACCACATCTGGGGATTTTCCCAGATATACACATCATGGTGGATTATTATATGTTTATAAATACATATATATATATATATGTATATATATCCCCAATCGGGGAGTACACAGGAACACACACAAAAATATGTATATATATATATGTATATATGTATATATGTAATGGGAAGGGAGATGGGTAAGCAAGTTGCTATTGACAATTCGAGGCCTTATATATGTATACATATGCATATATATATATATTAAATATTAAATATATATATATGGGTTAATTACAATAATTCACCTGAAATAAGGTCATTTGGGGATAGTCCCAGTGAGGTCGTTATAATTTACCCAGATGTATATACCTCTATATATATATATATATATATGGATTTGTGATGATCAAAGATGACCGGCTCCAAGTTCCCCAGGCTGGCCTTGTTGAAGCCACTTGGGAGGACACCACCGCGGCAATGGGTCCCTTAAGCCATTGGATTTTTCCAGAATGGCCTCAGTGATGACAAGTGGTTTTATGGAAAGCCGGGCAACCACAGGTCTCCATTAAATGGAGTTATCCTGTTTGAAAAAAAAGAAAACTATAAACGACTGGACCCCACTTCAACATCTTGTATCCTCCGGTGACCAAACATAGCAACGGTTCCAAAATCCCCTTAGATGATTTACCTCTTCAAAATGGTGATTCTCCCTAGCTATGTCAGTTCAAAACGGAAGGTAAACTGCGCAGTGGTGAAATTACCAGTGGTCGTAGAACCCACCAATTTCGATTTTTACATTACCAGAGGATATCATGGTAAATCCCAGCATTTTTTGCTCAAAAAAATGGTAAGAAAAAACCCGCGCGACCCGGAGGAAGTTGAGAACTCCCGGGAGTTTAGCTTCTCGCGTTGTGGGGCCCTCGCAGTGGGATTTTTTTTTAAAGCCAAGACTGCCGCTTCATGGGGATGGGTACCCCGTTACCCATACGGATGTGTCCTAAAATATGGGTACCCCCAAGTCACCATGGGTGTTCAATACTATAGTCATTCATGACTTGGATGATTGGATGTTGGTACCTCTATTTTAGGAAACGCCTTTCAATGGGGGAATTTTTACATCCAGCTATACCATCCATCGACGCTCAACGGGTGCCGTTTGGGTCCGGGTGCCAGGGATTTGACTCAGCCAGCCACATCAAGAAATTCTTTGGAAACAGGGATGTGAGGGAAATATCATGAAATATTCGCGGGAAGGATATAGAACAAAAAAAAGAACCAACAAGATGATAATCTGATGATAATCTTGGGCCTGAATGAACATGGGGTTGGAAAAACCGCAAAAGAGTGGATTTTTTTGGGGTGTTCCCATAAAATCTGGGCAAAAAAAATATCAGGGCAAAAGTAGGGGGAATCATCCCCAAAGGTCCAAACATTTCAGGTGCTTTTTTAAGGAGGGGGCTGGCCAAAGAGAAGATCAGTGGCTGAAAATTTCAGGTTAGTGAAATATTATGAAACATTAACCCAGATACCCTCTGGTAATTTAAGACAGCTATTGAAGCCATGGCCATAGAAAGTTCGCTGATTTATGAAAAGTGTGGATTTTACACAGCGAACTGTTAGTTTACCGGAGGGTCATATTCAGAACCCAGGTGAAATTGACTAATTATCCCCAAATGGTCATATTTTTCCTATATTTATCCCAGAATCCAGATTGAATATTCATTTATCCCACATAATCCCATATCCCCATTGGATTATACGGGGCCAAGTTCACTAAGTTTGCCAATTGCACCGGTTTCCGCAGAAGGGTGAAGGTTGGGGTCTACCAAAAAATGGTGGCTGGAAAATCCTCCGGAACGAAATATTCTGTGTTACCCTCTGGTAATTTGTGACAGTTTGCTATTGGAAATGGCCATAGAAATAGTGAGTTTTCCCATTCAAAATGGTGATTTTCCATAGTTTTTTGTATGTTTACCAGAGGGTAATAGATGGGAAACTCCCCACTAAATGGGTGTGTCTGAAAATAGGCTAAACCCCTTTTTACCCAATGGTTTTGCTGATCATTATCCCGTTTTTAAATGGCTATTTCATTGGGAAGATTAACCCTATTTTCAGACAAACCCAAATGGCTGGATTTGTCCATGAACCTATGGAGATGACCGGAGGGCCACTGGAAATCAATGGAGAAAAGGTGGGTTTCCAGAGGCCCAGACCCGACCGACCAGAAGATAGTGCTGGAACTGCCAGGGCCCCAGGGCCCCAAATTTCGTCTTGGCGATGAATCTGGGGGTTATTTAAGGGGAGCTGATCCTATTAAACGACAAACCCATATACATACAAGATACATATGTACATATGTGTATGTGTGTATATATATATATACATACATGTATGTGTATATATATATATATGTATGTGTATGTATATATATATAGTGCACATATATAGTGCATATATATATACATATATATATACACATATACATATATATATACAGATATATATATATATACATGTATGTATATATATATATATCAGGAAAATTGAAAGCACCAACCAGTTGTGCATTGAGAAGTCGAAACGCTTAGTTTTGAAAACCTCCCAACTTCATCTGAACGGGATGGCTGACCCGGTAGGCTATGCTGATCTACTTTCGTCTGAATGGATTGAGATATCAATGGAATACTTGGAGGACCATCACATTTTTCATGGAAAATTAATTATTAATTGGAATATACTTATGGGGAGATCTTCATGGAATATCAATAGTTTACTTGGAGGACCATTGTAACCATCCCATTTAGTAAGTGGTTAGTAATGGAGTATTCTTTGTGGGATATTTAGAATATTACTTGGAATATCAATGGGATTGCTTCTGGGTAACTTTTGATGTGGTTAGTAAGTGGGGTTTAGTAACTGGGATGAGTTACAGGTGCTCGCTTTTGATATCAAGTATATCAAGATCAATATTGGGATATTAGGATTATTAGGATATAAATCGAATACTTGGAGGACCATCTCATTTTGATGGATAATTAACTGATGATTAATGGAAATATGAATCTCATGGGGAGATGTTCATTGAATATGAATGGAATATGAACGGACTACTACTGATATACTATATGAACTATACATAACCAGCAATTGTCATGTTCAAAGTTTGTGGGATACTAATTGGGATATCAAGGGACTGTGGGATTTCAAGCTCATACGTAGGACTTCTAGGAACATCTGGTGATTGGCGAAAATCCAACCGAACACACTATGAACATGTTCCAAATACCCTCTCTGGTAAACAAACATAGCTATTGAAAATGGTGATTTATAGTGGATTTATCCATTAAAAATTGTGATTTTCCATAGTTATGTTAGTTTACCAGAGGGTACCAGGAATATCTTGGCACTGGGGAAAATTCAACGGAACTATCATGGGATATTTTTTTGCTGGGATCATCACAGGATGCCATAGAGGGTTTTGGTGGAAATTCCAACAGAGAATGGGGGAAATCATGAATTATAAACGAATACCATCTGGTTATTTAACATAGCCATGGAAAATGGCCCATTTATAGATGGTTTACCTTTTAAAAATGGTGATTTTCCATGGCTATGTTAAATAACCAGAGGGTAAATCCAAAACATAGGGGCCATGTCTTGGGAAAATAGTAAAAATATCTAACGAAATCATCGGATGATACTGGGATGATAATGGGTATAAAGGGCCATGGGATATAGTTGGGATACAATAATGATATGATTTGGATATTATATACATATATACTGGGGATATAATGGGGTGTAATGGCCGAATTAATGATCAAGCAACTGTTCTTTTAAACTGCCCCAATGGGTACCATTTGGGCCATGTCTTGTTAGTGATTTTACACCCATAAGTTGAGCGTCGAACACTCGAAATGCTAGCAAGGTCTTACAAAGAAAACTGGAACTCCACCATTGATAAGTGGTTGAGAAATGTTAGCAATCATGGGTCCCATGGGTCAGTTTACTCCACTATCAGTGAGACGACCAAGAAATGCTTTGACTTTCCAACGCCAGGTTGGCTTGACGCGTTCATGGGGATTCCTAGATGCTACAAAAAAGTAGTGGCTGAGCCGTATATTCCATATATCCTCATTAGTGTCAAGAAATATACCCTCTGGTTATTTAACATAGCCATGGAAAATTACCATTTTTATTAGGTAAACCCAGGTAAACCATCTATAAATGGGCCACTTTCCATGGCTATGTTAGTCATAACCAGATGGTAACCACAAGAGTACCCAAAAGGTTTGCCAAGTGCAATGGGTCTGATTATTTAGCTAAGCCAAATTCAGAATTCATTTGTCCCAACAAAATTTGATGCTCAGTCGTAATGGTCTACAGTACACCTTCAAAAAAGAACAAGTACATACGCCTTAATCCACATTCGAGTCATATTCTTATTATACTATACTTATTATCCCAGTTAACTATACTTATTATCCCCATAAGCATCCATTAACCATGAAAATTATGCTGCTGTTATTCCATTGATATTCCCATCATATCATTGCTATTCCCATATGAATATATCTCAATATATCCCATTAATTTCTGGTTGTGGTTTGGAACATTTGGATGATTTTTCCATTCAGGTGGGGTTTTGTCATGTCATCATGTCATCCCAACTGTTACTCAAACTCCATCATTTTTCAGAGGGGTTGAAACCTCAACCACCAACCAGATATATAGTTTGGTATATTAACCATAGGACATTCACCATGGTTTTAACCATGGTTTTTCCCCAACCAGTAATATTAACCAGAAATTTGAGATTCCCATATTTTGAGTTATTTCCATCTGGGGATGGGATTTTGGAACATCCAGCTATGCCATATGTTCATATCCCATATGATCCATGAACTACAATGATTAGCTAAGCATTCCATATATATAATTATGTATATTCCGACTGTAAGTCCATTTATACTTGGTATATCATATATATTATTGACATTGATCATGGATATAGTCATATAATATCATATAATATCATATATTCATCATATATAAGATGATTCATCATATATAGTGTACGTATGTATATATATATATATAATGTCAACCCTCGATTAACAAACCCCGTTTACGGCTGTTTAATTGGGGGGGTATCATTTAAGTATCAGATGAAATGACTATTGAGGGGAAGTACCCCCCTAATTAATCAATGGCCATTTCAGGAACCGATTCATTGGAGGTACCTACCATATATAAGGCCTATATAAGGCCTAAATTTCAGGGAATATCCCAGCAAAATATGGCCAAACATATGGTACTAACGTACCTCCATTTTAGGATCCTGAAATTCCCATGGAATTAATAAGCAACTATGGTTTATTAATCCGGGGTTGACATAGGCTATCGTCTCAGATCATCCCCTTCTAGGCGGCATCGTCTCAGAGCCCCTGAGCACAAAGAGTGGCCTTTGCCCAAGGTGACTGACGACGGGCCGCGCGAAAAATATGTTGCTAGGGTAGTGATTCGCAATTTTATGGGGATATCATGAGGATTTTATGGGATTTTATGGGTATTTCATTGGGATTTGATGGGCATATCAATGAGATGGATGGTGATTTAAGCATCCATATTTAAGGAGAGAGAATGGAAATGGATAGAGATATGCTAGGACGCAGAGCCATCATGAACCAACAGATCTGCTAATTTGGGCGTGTCTGAAAATGATTCCTTTGTACCGTACCAAATGGTGATAGGATGATAGGAAAATGTGTGATTCACCCATGGCTGTGGTTGACCACATATCGATGGATGGCTGATGCCCATAGTTTTGTGAATGTGCAGAAATATATAGCTTTTGACCATGAAAAAAGGCCGATGATAGGTGGATCTTTGATCCACCACACACGAGCCCTAAGCATCAAACATCTGATTAATGGATGGTGAATGGAGGCTGGGTTGTTCATGAGGAATTGTTGATTGGTGGTTGACTGGTTGGCCATAGTCAGATGATGAGTAGGTGATTACAAATCATTGGGCCAGGATGAGGTACTGACTGTTCACCTGGGGTGAAGTGGGCAACGCTTGAGCCACATTTGGATTCCATTCCCCACTGCAATGTTGCCGTGTATCCCCAATGAACCAGGTCAAGCCTTCCCCAAAAATTAACACAGAGCCTGATGATAGCCTACTTTTTGTGGACACATTTTTCTTCCAACCCTAGGCAGGTCCAGATCCCAATTGTTGCCTGGTAAACCTTGAGTCTTGAGTAGCGTTTAGTTGGTTTGGCCATGTTTGAGGCCAGAAATTTCTGGCTTTAAGCGTATCCAATGTTTGTTTGTCTGGAAATCTAAGGTCAAATATCCATGACTATACCTAATCTATTCCCATTAGCCCCCCAAAAAAATCCATGATGATTGGCGAAGATCCCCACTTTCCTTTTTGAATCCTAACTCATATGCGGCTATATATATATACATATTAATATTACCAATTTATATTCATTGATGGTTAAGATATCTCCAAATGATTGCTGATTCAGCCAGACTTTTCTGCCTTTTCTGCCAGGACCTTCCAAGCCGTGCCGTGTTTTCCAGCGCTAGCTGAAGTGCCGATGTGATTCTCCACGGAGATCACAGAGCAGCAAACTCATGGGGTTGACGAACAAGAGAAGCGGCTTCAACCAGGAAAAGGGATTCAAAGCATCAAAAGATGGGGATTGAAAGCTTCAAACTGATTGAACCATCGAAAAAAAAAATCCAGAAACATCTATGGCCCAGTAAGGATGGCACCCAAGTTGAAGCCATTACAAGTTGGGCACAACTTGTGGAGCCTGGCTTCGGAAAAGATTCCAAGTCACGTTTGAGGTTATTGAGGAAACATATACTGATGTTGGACTGCTGCTGTCATTCCAGTTTCCTCAAACAGATGTGTTTTTTTTTAACATCTCTTAAAGCTTTTCTGCAGGAAATCAGCCCTGCACTTTTTGCAGTTTTCATGCGACGTGCATGCAAAGCAAAGCACAGTTGGCACTGAAGTCGCGCGTGATGCTCCTTCAACCGCTGGAAAAAAGAGACATAGATCTCAGAGGTGCCATGAGATTTCCCATTTTGAAGGTTTGAACACTGCTGACATCTCAATTACAAAATGCCGTAAAAAGTCTCAACATACTCTGGAAGAAATCCTGCATCAGTAAGCATCCCCTTCTAATTTACAGGGTTTCGCAGGAACACAGAGTCAGGTACCAACTGGTGATTCGGATTTCGCTGGCCCATCCACAGTTACAATTGAACATGGCCTGAGCCAAGAGCATCCGTGGTTCCACGCTTCATTTCTCCCAGTGCAGCTGGCCACGGAGATTCACGTGTCCCAAAAAGAGCTTTTGGTTGTAGCTGAATCACTTGAAGAGATTTGGATCTAAGAACAATCATGACATATGGGGGTGTCCGAAAATAGGGATAACCCAAATCATCCCAGTCATTAGACCATTTTAGTGTTGAAACCCATGGTTTTGCGGTACTGGTAGCACCATTTGAGGAAACCCACCATCGAAAAAAACGGAGATACCGTAGACCGTAGATACCCATCTCCAGCGTGGGGATTCATACAAGTTAGAGGTCCGAATTGTCATGGTTTAGGGATGTTTAGGGAAAAATGATGAAAATTACTTTTAAAAAGAGTTGATCAAAGGAAGTTTAGAAGTCAAACTTCCGACAATATGGACAGATGAAAAGCAGAGATGGGAAGAGACAGAGAAGAGGAGCGAAGAAGAAAGAAGATCAAAAAAGAGAAAGTCTCAGAAGAAAGAAGATCCAGATGCCCGAAAAGGTAGGAAAGTCGCGAAACGCTGTTTTTCCAATGATTTGTGGCTCCGGAGGGTCGAAAAGTAGGCTCGCTAAAGCGGCGGGTGCGGAGCAAGCTGGCCAGATGAGAGATGAAAATTGCACGCCGTTGTGGCGCAGAGCACAGTTCCAAGTCAAAATGTACAAAACACCTCAGCTCCGGAGCACTTTTAGAAGTTGAGATGTCGAAAAAGTGCACGGCGTTGTGGTGCCAAGCACATTTCGAAGTCAAAATGTACAAAACACCTTACGTTCGGAGCGCTTTTGGAAGCTGAGATGTCGAAAAAGTGCACGCCGTTGTGGCGCGAATCACATTTCGAAGTCAAAAGGTACAAAACACCACATGCTCGGACCACTTTTGGACGTTCAGATGTAGTTTCGCGTGGCGGGCGCACGGGATTGTGCACCTTGTCAAGAGTGAGCAAAACGTGAGGGTTTTGTAGCATTTCGTTTTGGCAGGCGTGGGACATTTGAAGAGGATCTGCAAAAGTGCATTTTCCGTGGCAGGCGCAGTACAAGAGACATGTTCATCAGAGCTGTTAGGAGGTCCGGGCGCTGATTTCCTGAGAGGGGCTGCATTTTGGAGCATCAGATCTTCAGGTTTGCTGAGATGATTTTGCGTGACAGGCGCAGCACTTCGTATGACCTGGTATCACTTTTTCGTGGCAGGCGCAGTAGTTTAGACAGGTGGAGTCGAAACATCGCAAAACGCATTGGTACGATGCCGTCAGCTCTGCACTCAACTTTCCATTTTTGAAGGAAGTCTCGCAGAATTGTTTCGTTTCTGATGTTGTCACCGTCGAAAAATGACGAAGTCTCGCAGAATTGATTCGTTTTTGCACTTGTCAACTTCAAAAATTGAGGAAGTCTCGCAGACTCGTTTCGTTTTTGACGTTGTCAAGTTCAAAAACTGAGGAAGTCTCGCAGAATAGCTTGGTTTTCAAGCTTGCAGATTGCAGCTAGATAGCTAGATAGATAGATAGGTAGGTAGATAGATAGATAGACAGACAACTACAACAACAACTACAACTACACTACAACTACAAATGCAAATAAACTATGCTACATTACACTACACTAATTACACTACACTACACTAATTACATCTGATGACACTACACCACACTAATTACACTACAACTACTACAGCTACCACAACCACAGCTACAATTACAACTACACCACATTACACCACACTGCTCTAATTACATTGCAGCACGCTACAACTACAAATACAAATGCAACTACAACTGCATTACATTACACAACACTACGCTACACTAATTACATTGCATTTCACTTCAACTACAACTGCAACTGCAATTGCAACTACCACTAAATTGCACTGCACGACGCTACACTAATTGCACTACATTACACTACAACTACAGCTACACTACTTTACACTACACTCGACTACACTACACTATACCAAACTACAGTACACAACACTACAGGACACTACAATACACTACACTAATTACACCACACCACAACTACAACTGCAACTGCAACTACAATACACCAATTACACAACAGTACAACTACAACACTACATTACAACTACGACTACAACTACAACTGCACTACACCACACTGCATCCAGCAGTTGTGGTGAGGTGACCACTGCAAACATTGCAACCACTCCAAAAAACACAGCTCCAACCACCTTTCGGTCCATCAGTGGACTCGCTCTGCCATCCGTGATTCGCTACAACCAACCTCTCCTATAGGTTTCCTATTTTTGAAACTTTCGCCACCGCCTTGTGCAGTACTACTGGTACTGGAGATTCGTGAGATTTTCACCAGACATAAGCTATCCAAAGAGTGTCTCAATTTTTGTTGGGCCCTTCAGTGCTTGCCCTTCACACTACTTCGCCATGTCGCAGCGCGCCGCGGAAACAGCCCGACAGAACGCAGAGTGCAGCGGGCACGTCGTCGCGTCCTCATTTTTTCTCATGGAGAATGGGATATTGCCCATATTGGATCATAGTGATATTAATTGAGGTTACCACTGCCTCATTTTTTCTAATAGATTCCCATATTTATCTATGGCAGTAGCATGGGAAAATCTATGGCAGAATTTTAGAAAATGAACTTCATGGAATTCACCGGCGATATTGCGATCGTCCCTGGATCAGAATGGGAAACATCTGGGATCACTTTTTCTGAATGGGGGGATAAGCAGTAAGCATCTCTTAGCCATCTAAATGCCCGAGTAATCCCATATATATATATAGAGATAGTGATAATATAACCAGTAATATCATGCAATATCTACAACTGGATCATCAGTAAGCATTTATTTTCGGCGACCAAAAGGTGTCCAGGTTTGACATGTTTTGAGGTGGATCCCGTGGCCCGACAGAAGTTTGAGGCGCGGTTCGGGGCTGGCATTTTTTTGGATCATGATCACCAGAAAAACACATCACTAGGTAGTGACTGGGATGAAAAAAATCCATAAAAATAGAATTTTATACATGGGATAATGATGATAATGTGAGTGGGATGGAAACATGCATTGAATTCATGTTTAATTCACGGATAAACCACTGAGGACTTACGATCAGCCAATAAGGGAAGCTCAGCACCATCGGATGATCCTCTAGGATTCAACAGTCAACGGCCGCCGGCCGCTACTTTCATTGGTTTACGGTTTACGGTTTACGGGAAAATTGGAACCGGAAAGCCCCATGATCTTCATATATCTTCATGGTAAAGATCCCAACAAAACCAATCCAATGATCTTTTGGGAGAAAATCATGTCGAATTTTGGAATGTATCAAGTGAGCATGGGGCATTCTTAGATGATTGAACTACTGAACTGTAACACGAATATGCACAAATGGTGTTTCCAAAGAAGAAAATAGTTGCTACTGTTGCAACTTTTCAAAAAAACTGGAAATAGCCAGTCTATCTGACCTGAGCTGAGTCCAGGGTGGCGATGTTTAGAGAATCAGCAGGTGGCACTGGGTGGTTTTTCTAACCAAACATCAAAGTTTCAACGGGACAATTTCCGAAATCAACACTGTAACATCTCACATCCGATTTCAAAGGACACAACACCTTGAGAAAAACATGATGTTTTTCAATCGGGACCTGTTTCACAGAGCGAGTTATCCCTCATGACTAGTTAAGAACAAAGCCATATGAGCAGTTTCACAAAAACTAGTTGGTTGATGATTACAGAAGGGTGTACCTGAGATATCCAAAGATATCCTGAGATTGTATTTGGGATCACAATGTACATGAGCTGGACATTCTCATGAAAAACAACCATTGTTTAAATGGGGACTATGCCATGTCGCTTTTATTTCCACTGCTCATAGAAGGCCCAACAGTTGGCCTAGTTCTGCGGCTCCCAAGTGACCTTTCCCAAAGCGGGGCACCACGGCACCACCTTTAGCACCCCACATTCCGAAGGTTGAAATCCCTCGGTTTTCCCCATGAACTGCCATTCTATGGGTATACCCCAATGATACATCAGTGTGACACACACCACCCTGTCCGCGGCAGTTTTAGCGTCCTTATTTTTTAGCACCGGGCCCCGGTCGAGCTCCAATGAGAGCAGCGCGAAGTTTGAAAACTTTCCCCACACTTCCGGTGACATGTCGCAGACAAGGGAGATGGGAAGAGACGGCAGTTTGTGGAGGTTTCCTAAAATAGATGTAACCCCATCCCAAATTGGACCATTTTAGTATTGAAACCCATGGTTTTGGGGGTGCCCCTATTTTAGGAAACTAGGAAAGCTCCATGCTTCAAAATGGACCATATACCCCTAACATTGCTATTTCCCAACAAAAGTCAGTGTTTGGCTTTCAATCTCGAAGCCTGGAAGCTGCTTTTGGGTTGCACCGAAAATCGGGAACCACCGATTTTGATGCTGAAAAAAAATCTCTGTAAAGGGACGTCTAGAAGGGAAAAAAATCATCCCACTTTCAAAGCCACGCAGCAATTTGTGATAGGGAGAATGCTGATTTGGGGTATCCTGTTTTCAGACTAGTGACTTGCATTGAGAGGGGAAACCAAAGTTTTGGGGATAGGAAGCAGCAAAAACCACTGATCATCGTCATGGATATAAAACCAATAACAATAAGACTCGTCATGAAACTGGTTGGTGGTGGTTTCTTCGCTCTTACATTTCCAACCATCATGTTTCCTGTTTCCTGGATGACACGCCGAGTCGGCTCTAGCGGAAACGGCCTGAGAACCAGGGCACTTATCTGACCTTCACGAGCTGCACGGGTGACAGCTGCAGTGTCAATATTAGCTGAAAGAGAATCAGCACCAATCTGCATCTTAACCGCTTGGCGGTTCCAAGCGAATTATCTCCATTAACAAGACGAAGCGGCAAGTGGCAAAGAAGAAGCCAATGCCACAGGGCACAGCGCAAGTGATCAAGGAGCCACCGCCTAGAGAAGGGATGCTCAAACGAACGGAATGGCAAGGCCAATACGAAGAACGAGGCCACCATATTTAACGACGCCCAGCTGAGCGAACCTCGTCTGGGCAGTAGATCCCACCACTCACCGCATGCCGAAGGAGAAAAATCACACACACCAGTGCCAGGCCAAGAAGCTAAGGCAAGCCAGGAAGGAAGCCAAATGGGACCCCAATCACCACTGATCTCCATGTCATTTACAAACCACTGATGGAAGGAGAGCCGAGCATTGTTTGCGAGCAGCCCGACATGATGTTCTCCGACATCCCAAGGTAGTATGTGTCTAACCTGTTCCAAGCCAAGTCGCAAGGCCTGAGCACTTGATTGCATAGCATCCCAAAGCAAAAAACTCTCTTGTGGAGCGGCCAAGGGTAAGTATTGTCCCATGATGATGCTCTCAAATCCAGGTGTGAATGCTCGTTGCCCAAACAAAACCCTGTCATCGCACAACTGTTCACTCTGCGTCTGTTCCTGCGTGCTAGGAAGGCCACGCCAGCACAAGGTAAGCAGAAGTGAATCTGGCCATGATGCGCGCAAACACACCATGTGGGTCAACCAAGGCTCGGCCACCAAAACAGCAAGCGCAACATACCAGGGACATAGGGCGAAGGCCAGAGCTGCGCTGATTCTCAAAAGAACTGTTTGCCTAAGCGATGACAAGTGCAAAGCATCCGACTGCTCAACAAGCTGTCTGCGCAACGTCCAAAACTGATCTGATCTATTGAGGTACGCTACACGGGCAGCACGGTCAACGTGGCCAACATGAACCAAGCACCAGGTATCCAAGGCCCAACGAGCCTGACAGCATTTCTGATGAGAAGCAACATCATTGGTTCGAAACTTTGCAGTTTCGTGTCCGGAAACCAGGCCGGCAGTGCCCATGCATGAGTCACTGAGACAAGCCGTAAGTTCGTGAAATACAGTCATCATACCCTGGCTGTTGCACCAGCTACAAACACTTGTGTCAGATCGGAAACACAGTGGAAGCAGGAGAACGATCAGGAGCATAGAGACCATTGCACAACGAAACCCCAAACGTTCAGCCGGGTCAGCCTGCCCCGCTGGAAGGGAGTTTGGGCCCAGGCTATTTCCAACCATCATTCTTGGACTGCGCACCAAGCAGCTAATGTGTCCCAACCGATGTTTCCCAATACATATTTCGTCATTATCATGTTGTTTCCAAATGACTCGGAGGTTCAAAAGGATTGGACCAGAAAATGAGACTTGGATTCTGGAGTAGCACGAACCCATCCCTATGTTTTTTGAATCATGTTATCATGTTCGCTGGCCAAAAGGCATCAGTTTCTTCAGCTGTTTTTCAACTTTTCAACTTTGAGTTTAAACTTGTTGACTCAGCAACGCACAAAACATGGGTTGGTGTGCTGAAAAACTTACTGGTGCTTAGCAGGGAATGAGGGAATGATCCACAATAACTATCAATAATCATCCCATTCCCCCATTCCCATCCATTCCCTACCAAGCACCAGTCAGAAAATATCTTACGATCTCGGGTGTTTCCTGTCCCGTATTCTCGTGGTTGAAGGGTGTCTTTTGATGGAACCTTTCCCAAATTTGACCGGACTTTTGGTTGGTTATTCAATGTTATCTAGTGGTGGGCTATATCATGTGGTTTACTAGGGATTGTTGCAATCCAGCAGAAGTTGCATTTTCTTTTTGAACGAAACAAAATTGAAGGCTATCCTTCTCTACATCCAATAGTATTCGGCTCCAGGACCAATTGACCCACCATCATGGAAAAGTCCATGGGAACATACTAGGTATAGCAACCCGTTTTAGCACATGTTTAAAACCCCCTGTTTCCAAGCCTATTAACCCCCTATCTCATAATTACTCCCTAAGGGATCCAATAGCTACAAACCAAGCAGTACAGTGGGATGTGGAATAACCTCATGGCTGGTTGACCTAGCTGTTATCCATATTAACTCATGCCAGTATACTGGTTGGTAGGTAGGTATCCCGATTATGTGTTGGTTCAGAATGCCCAATCAAAAAGGTAAGTTGCAGATTAATAACTCCCCATGACTCATGACTCATGAAGCATTATTTATGATATTTGTGGACTATATCCCCACACGTTTGATGGTTACAAGCTCTATCAATGATGGTTACATCCCAACACAACTTAAAACCCATCTTTGGTGCTGAAAAGACCCTAATATTTCATGGTTGAATCCCACTATGACAACCAATTTTTCATGGTTACAACCCTTGAACCTTAGGGCCCCCTAGTTACAAGTTGGTTTGGAACCCCTATTTACTATAGTTATAGGTACCATATCCCATAGTTATTGGAGTTATGTTCACTGACTTAGTTATCATAAAACAGCTGTAAATCACATTGATTTCCATTAAATCTCCATGAGATCCTGATTTTTCTTAGTTAAGTCCCAGTGGGTCGTCTCAGGTCTTAGACCGAGAAGACTCACGAAGTTCCTTCGCGGAGGGGCAGCTGGTGAAGATCAGGAATACCAGTGAAGAGGAGACATTCCCTATCAGCCATTCCTAACTGAAGAAGAATCAATCTTATCTTCCTAAAAGAGTGTTCGTTGTACAAATACATACATATACCCTTTATATATTCTCATTGACATTCCCATCAAGTACAGAATAATATTGCATGTGTAGGATTATGTAGGTATATGTGTATATTCCATCCTGATACATATATCTAATATACATATATATATACTATATATATACAACATATATATATACAACATATATATATATATACAATATTTATATATATACAATATATATATATATACAATAAATATATATACACTATATATACATACATATACATATATACATATATGCATACATATATTTATATATATACATACATATATACATATATATATACATATACATTTACATATGTATATATATATATATGTACATATACACATACATATATATATATGTATTCAAGTGCTAGGCCTATCTATCTGCCTATCTATCTACCTACCTACCTATGCATCTATCTATCTATCTATCTACCTATATATTCCATCTATCTATCTACCTGCCCATGTCTCTATCTACCTATCTATCTATTTATCTATCTACCTATGTATTTATCTAACTATCTATCTACCTGCCCATGTCTCTATCTACCTATCTATCTATTTATCTATCTACCTATGTATCTATCTAACTATCTATCTACCTATCTATCTATCTATCTATTTATCTATCTATCTTCATAAATTTTCCCTTCTATCTACCTATCTACCTATCTATCTATCTACCTACCTAAATTTCCTATCTATCTATCTATCTATCTATGTATCTATCTATCTAGCTATCTATCTATCTATCTATGTATCTATCTATCTAGCTATCTATCTATCTATCTACCTAAATATCCCATCTATCTATCTACCTATCTTTCTATCTAAATCTATGAACAAACATTCTCCCACAAAAATCTCTCCAGGAGGCCAAACGCGTTTTCGACGCCAGCGGCATCCACTGGAACTCCTCCAAGGCACAGCTTTTGGGCTCCGTCGGGGAGCTGCGCAGCGCCGCGGAGAACTACTACGCCGCGGCCCGGTGGCGCCGTTTTTTTTGGGCACCTTTGGGGCACCTGTGGGGAGCTGGGAAAGTGGAGGAAAACGAGCTGGAAACATGCTGGAAATGTGGAAACAAACGAGAAAATGGAGGGAAAATGCTGGACATTGGGAATTGGGTGAGAAATGCTGGAAAAATGATGCGCATTGTGGAGAAAACCTGGATAAGACCTGGCATTTTCCAGTGGAGAACTGGGTGACAGTTGCGAAAAATGCAGGATTTGCAAGAAGGCTGCAAGAAAAGGATGGGAACATTTGAAAGTTTGTTTCGGGAGTTTATGATGGAAATGTGAACGATAATGGTTGGAAACTGATGAAAAGAAAAAGGAATGATGGTGTATCGCAAAGAATGGAAAACATAGAAAATTCATCAAAAAAATATCGGATTTAGCAGCAAAAAGGTGTGAAACCAATCAAACAAGGTCCGCCCCGAAACGTGAAATGGCACCAGAAATGATCATCCCACATAGTTTGCAAAACAAAAACTGGATGATTTCCATCTGAATAATGGTGTTGGACCCAGGTTGGGTGATATCAACAGGGAGGACATGTTTTGCCCGGGAAAAAGTAAAATCAACCGGCGGCAAAACACCCTCGAGTAATGAAACTTAGTGGAGACCATGGCCCCTTTCTTTTAATGGTTTAGCGTTTTTAAACCAATGGACACGTTCAATAGCTATGTTACATTTCCTGGGTACTTGGAGGATTATCCCATGTACTGACTGGTTAGTAACCATAGACACCATAGACCATAGATAAATAGTTATAACCCATCTATATAGGATAACCCACTTAGGGAGTATCCACCGGCAACAATAATAGTTGGGAACTGGTGAAGGAAGGGGCATTTTCATATGGTGATGCATCAAGGACGGTTCATGGGAATGGTGAAGCATTCTGGTTGGAAGTCTACCTACTACTGTACTACCAATGGTCATCGGGATAGGAACCAACCACAGAAGGGATATAATCCAGATTGTTTCAATCATTGAATGGAAAGCAACAGCATGATTAACCATCATTTCTGGATGACGTCACCGGAATGATGCTCAGGAAAATGCTGAATCATCCCCGAATTAGTTCAGCTGTCTTCAGTTTAGTGCATAAATAACATGTAGCCAGAATAAAATAGATAAGGAATCAAAAGATGTGTGGATATGTGTGGTTAATCATTACAGTATATACCCCATGATAGCTAATGAGGTATCCTCATTTCCCAACATATTCCCCATATTTCCCCATATCATTTGGAACATGTTCGACGTCACTGTATCAATTGGGGATTCCAGCAGGGCCTCAGAGCTTGGTCCCGACATTTCCCATGGGTTTAATGTCGGAATTCCCATATTTCAGGGGGTTGAGAAACATTTTTAGTTGCTTAATATGTTAATGTAGCGTCTCAGAAAAAGTGTGTCTTCTTTTTGGTTGGTTTCTTCTTTCAGCATTGTGAAAGCGTTTGAGGAGCAAGATTGGCTCTCGATATATGGTTCAGAATGTCATGTATATTCACATTACTCTCTGGTAATTTAACATAGCTATTGAAAATACCCCATTGAGAGTTGATTTACCTATTCAAAATGGTGATGTTCTATAGTTTTTTGTATGTTTACCAGAGGGTAACTTATTCTATTGTACAAAAGGATCGGTATTTACGCAGTTTTTTCCGTTCCACAGAAACGAGATACGACAGTCATAAGATCAACATTCCCGATAGCCAGGACTGCAAGGAAGGTCATGCTCCGTTGACAGACCAAGACAGACAGACAGAAAGACAGATAGATAGATAGATAGAGATTACACTAGCTTAAATTAAATCCGATTAGATCAACTTAGATAAGATGAGGTTAGTTAGTTAGATAGTCTGTAAATACATATACAATCATTCTGAAGTAGATAGAGTATGATGATTTTCAACCATCATCTCATATTTTAGTGATCGACTTAGAATGACCACATTCTACTCCAGGATGACTATATATATATACATACATACATATACATATACATGTACATGTAAGTGTACATGTACATGTATATATATATATACATATACATATACCTTTACATATACAAATTCATATACGTACTGTGAATACATACTGTGGATGGTTGCAAATCCCGCACCAGTTGATGGCAAACATGCCATTATTTGTTTAGGGTTTCAACCATCCGCTTGGTGGTGCAGGATTTTGCAACGATTCACAGTACCACCCACAATACCCCAAGATAGCTAAGTTGGTTTATAACTCTAATAAGTAGGACTTAAGGTAGTTATATCTACAATCAATAGGATTATCAACCAATTTATGAGAGGGCGCGACCAAATCATCCATTTTAATAGGAGATGTTCCATTATAAACCATCCACTTTAGGGGCATCCCAATTTACGGATATCCCCATATATAGATATGGTTCTGACTGGTATTACTCTGGGATAAACGATGATCATGGGATTATAACAAGGATGACTATATATATATGTATACATATATATATACCTATCTATCTATCTATTTGTCTATCTATCTATCTATCAATCTATCTATCTATCTATCAATCTATCTGTCTATCTATCTATCTATCTCTCTCTATCCAACTATCTATCCATCTATCTATCTATTTATCTATCTATCTATCTATGTATCTATCTATCTAGCTATCTTTCTATCTATCTACCTAAATATCCCATCTATCTATCTATCTATCTATCTATCTATCTATCTCTATCTATCTATCGATCTACCTATCTATCTATCTATCTATCTAACTACCTATCTATCTATCTATCTATCTGTCTATCTATCTATCTATCTATCTATCTCTATCTATCTATCTAACTACCTATCTATCTATCTTTCTAACTACCTACCTATCTATCTATCTATCCATCTATCTATCTATCTATCTATCTATCTATCTCCATCTATCTATCTAACTACCTATCTATCTATCTATCTAACTACCTATCTATCTATCTATCTATCTATTTATCTAGCTATCTATCTATCTTTCCATCTATCTATCTACCTACCTATCTATCTATCTATCCATCTATTTATCTATCTATCTATCTATCCATCCATCTATCTATCTATCTACCTATCTATCTATCTATCCATCTATTTATCTATCTATCTATCCATCCATCTATCTATCTACCCATCTATCTCTCTCTCTCTCTCTCCCTCTCTCTGAATCTCATCTCACTGGCTCAGGTCTATACCCCTGATCGTTCAGACTGGTGGCGCTGGCCACTCTCCATGCTCCAGGAGGTTCGCCAATCATCGTGGTGCCCCAATAGCTGGATGGTTTATACTTGAGAATCCTGTTAGAAATGCATGATTTTGGGGGTACCCCCATTTTAGGACCTCCCTATTGGCAGTTTAATGGTGTTCAATGATGTTTTTTGTCAGTTTATGAGGCTTTTATTGGCAGTTTAATGATGTTGAATGGGATTTATGGACGTTTTAGGTCTTTTTTTGGTTGGCAGGGGATTTTACACAGGTTTAATGGAATTTAAAGAGATTTCATGAGGATATTTCATGAGGAGTTCAGGATTTCATGGTGGGATCTCATAATCTAAGATAGGATTTTATAAAGACTTAACCAGAGGTATTATGTTGGTTAAATACCAAATACCAAATACCAAATGCTATGCTATCCATAATTTCATAAACTTCCCATACCAAAGGTATCTATGCTAGCCATAAGGATTTGATCAGGATTTTTAGGGGTAGACTGGGGTATTTGGAGGTTTCCTAAGTCATGGGGCTACACCCAGTTCTCATCCATGTGGTTTTCGGATTTCCCATGATCATCTGGCTATTGTGTACCCCATGACGATGGAAAACCATCAATCATCGTAAGGATCTGATGGAGATTCGATGGGATAATAAGGATACGATATGAACAGTATGGACATATATCAACAACTGGATACGATATGATACCCTCTGGTAATAGCTGACAGTTTGCTATTGAAGCCATGGCCCATAGAAATAGTTGATTTACAGTTGATTACCCATTAAACATGGTGATTTTCCATAGTTTTTTGTATGTTTACCAGAGCGTGAAAAATATGTGGGTCTGTTTGAAAATTGGATAGCCCTCGATCCAATGGTTGATCATTGATCATTCTTTTCCCGATTGAACAGCCTAAAAATGGGTTGCATTATTTTTTTAGATAGACTATATAAGCTATTGGTGTTCTACTAAGCTATTCAAACAGGATCAGCCAACTATCCATTATTGGTGACTTGCTATGTTCACAAACCAGTGGAACCAGTTCGCAACCAGTTGTTTGATGCTGCACATGTGAAAAAAGTGAAAACATGAGAACATGTTGGTTAAATAGATCCAAATGATAATGGAATTTTCCGTGAAAATTACAGGAATATAGATTTAGCTGAGAATAGATCACACCCAATTTTTATGGCTTATCCACCCATGTTTCCCGTTCATTAAGCCCATTTTCGAACAGACTCAAACAAGGATTGAGGAACATGAACATGATCTTATCTTGGATATGGTGGTTTGTATGGAGATTAGATATTGATTCAATCAGATATCAGATTCGAATGGGAACACCGGGATCTTCATTAGAAAAAACATGTATATAATCTTCATTAACGATAGCTTGCTGGTTGGTGGTTTCAAACATTTTTTCATTAGCATTCTGGACCGAGTCCCTCCCAGCGGGGAATGCTGGGCTAGCTAAAACTCGGTTGGTTTTGTCCGAACTTGATCGGTACCTTGCCATGGCCCTTTGGGGTAATGCTGGCCCGAAGCTTTTGTGGGGATTTCAGGACACTATGGAAGTAGGTACTGTCTGTGACATCGCTGCGGAGGTGGTGGCTCATGCAGGTGAAGCTGTGATGGTCACCTTGCTTCCTGGCCGCCAACAGGCCAAAATCATCGGCACTTTGCAGGTGTCCGAAGGATGTGCATCAATCTCGGTGTTTGACGCCACTCTGGTTCAGAAGGATCCTCTTCCCTGCTTCTTTGTGGATGACCCGACGGACATTCTTTTGTTTGGTCGCAGCAACAGAGACTCCTTTTCGAACATCATCGAGTTGTGCTCAGGGCTGGGAGTGGGCACAATTGGGTTCCAAACGGCTGGCATGAAAACTGTAGCAGCTGCAGACTGGTCTTTGCCGTTTGTCGAGGCTTTCAGGTCCATGCACCCTGATGTACCATGCATACATGGAGACATAGGATCCAAAGATATCCTGAAGTGTTTGTACAAAGCGCATCCGTATCCGGCCATGTTGATGTGCGGTTTCAGTTGCCAGCCTTTCAGCACAGGAGGGTTTCAGCGTGGCGCTGATGACCAGCGATCGAACACTCTGTACAGTGCGCTCAGGGCAGCATTCATGCTCCGCTCGGTAGGAGTCATTTTAGAATGTGTACAGGATGCATCGACGAATGCAATGGTTCGCCAGCAGCTGGAATCTTTCCGAGATCAGTGTGGCTACCGGTTGTCTGAGGTTGTGTTGCAATTGGAATCAATTTGGGTTTCTCGTCGTACTAGATGGTGGGCCACACTGATGGTAGACTTCGTAGGATCGATTCCACTCCGTGCATCCGAGCCTTTGTCCGATCCAGGTGTCCCACGTGATGTCTTGCCGGCCCCCATGGCCCTGTCTCATGCACATCTGCAGCAACTCGAGTTGAAAGGAGATGAGCTTGAGCTTTTCCTGCAATACCAACCAAAACTGGCCAAGATGTTTTTGCCGTTCAGAGGCAAAGCACCAACTGCACTGCACTCTTGGGGATCACAGGTGACAAAATGTGAATGTCTGTGCAGGTCAGCAGGTTTTTCCAGCACCACCCTTCAAAGCCGAGGTTTGTATGGACTTTTATTTCCAATTGAAGGTGAACCTGACCCACGATTCCCAGATGTGCCCCGAGTGCGACACCCTCACCCGACTGAGGTTGCAATTTTGACTGGAGTGCCTGAGATGATTTGGCCGCCAAACCTGAGGTTGTGCTTAGCCGGTCTTGGGCAGCAGGCATCACCTTTGCAGTCGGTGTGGATTGCAGCATTGGTCCAATGTCAGGTAGACAAAGTGTTCTTTGGGCAGTCTACACTGGTCCCTATGGATTGTTTGTTGGAATTGCGTGGTCGTGTCTGTGTCATTGCGGAGCACCTGGAATTTGCTCCTGTTCCAGCCTTGCCCCTCCCTGACCCCCCTGTCGAGGTGGTCATGGATTTGACTTTGGATGACCTTTCGCTGACACCATGGGTCCACTTTGCTCACAAAGGTACCTCAGATGAAGTGACCATTGTGCATTGCCATGACTGCACCCCGTTTGTGACCAAGCTGTCTGATCCTAGTACCTCTGTTGCGGCTGTCCTTGATGCCACTTGTCGTCTTCTGGACCTTGTTGCGGAAGAATGCATGGTCATTGACTGTAGCACGGGTCTTACCCCCGGCTCCGCTTCATCAGCAGCTGGAATGTGTCTTTGGATTACTGGTCAGGCTGCACCTGCACCCATGCCCCTTGCTGTTGCAGACGTTTCTCCGACGATCCCTTGGCGTGCTGCAGATCCACAGCCGGAAGTGGACCCTGACCGACCTTGCTTGCCCTCGGATCAGCAGATGCATGTTCCTAAAGACCCAGTGCCCGAACCCCTTGTGTCTCTTGATGCGTCCCGGCTGTGCCTTGTCCCAGAGCCATCCGTCAATGATGTCGGCCTGCTGCAAGCCTTGCGCAAGCAATCCATCGATGTCCAATCTCGAAAACTCATCCTGGCAAACCAAGGCACTCTTTGGGCTGACGATGAACTTCTCTGGCATGCCGAACAGCTCCTCCATGCTGCCAAGAAACCGAATTGGGCTTTGCTTGATCCACTCCTGGCGGCTGAAGCATTGAAACGACCCAGCAGCAATCTGTTGCAACAATGGATTTCATCGTTGTCTGTCCGTCCTACTGCGATCATTGGAGTTGTGTCTGTTGACAACCATTGGATTCCCTTTCTTTGGACTTGGACCGCCCACTGCATGATTGCTTCTTGTTGGGATATCCCTGGCCCTGCGTCTGCATCGTTGGCTGTCCTGAATCAAGGCCTGGCCACTGCTCTCGGCTCCCGAACTTGGACTGTCCATGCTGTACACCGGTCGTTTGCCGTGACAGAATACTGTGGACTTTGTGCTGTGCGGTTCCTGGACCATATGTTGCGGGGAAAGATGTTGCCCAGCAATTTGGACGAGGTGAAGCAACTTCATGCAGCTGCCAAATCCCAATTTGTGCAGTTTTTGGACTCCTGTGCAACCATCAGTCGGCCCTGGATTTGGTCGGCTGGTCTTGATCCCAAAGCCTTCGATCGTTTGCAAGCCCTTTTGATTGAGCATGGGGTCGAACCGACCCAGATCAAGCACCGAGTTTCCCTGCTGACCCAGGCGGCTGGTTTACCAGCTATCCAGGGCGCCCTGACTTCTGGTCAGCCATGGAGATCCCTCAAAGCAGTAGCCAACAAGTGCCGTCCAGTCTTCCAACTTGTCCTGCCCCAAGAGTTGGAACAAGCTGTGCAGAAAAAGGCTGACCAAGGTGGTCTTCGCACGAAGCGAAAAAAGCAGGCCACACCGTCCAAGCCAACACCCAAACCTGAAGTTCCACGAGCATTGGATCCAAGCAAATTGACCATCGACGAAGAAGCTTTCACTGCACCTGATGGTTCTGGCCTTGGCCAACTTCAGCTGAATGCAATTGGACCCCTTGCCCAAGGAGTTGTTTTGACCACAGTTGATGAAGCATCGGCGTACCTCAAAGCTGGCCAACTGGTCTCCAAAGGTGCCCTGGCTTTGCTGTTGCTCAATGCCGAGGATAGCCAAATTGTCACGACTTTGTCCTGGTCTTTCATGCGTGTTGTCTTGCGATGCCAGGCCAATTCTGAGCCAATGATCGTCCCTGCCTACCTTCTCCAGCTTGGTCAGGTTGCGGTTGTCCCGAAATCTGATAGTGGCCCTCAAGACCTGTTGCATGCTCCTGCAGCGTGTTGCAAGATCGCAGTTTACCGAGATATGGTTGCGGACGACTGGCACCAGGTCATCAAGTCCCCGGTGAAGTATGTGCTTGCCAAGCTCCTGCCCCTCCAAGTGTGTCGCCAAGGTTCCCCTGGCCAACCCTGCTCTTGCGGAAAGTGGCACCCTGGTCCACATGACGTGGTTGAAGATCCCGTTCTTGATGTGTGGCGCCGTCAGTGGGTCTCATCATCCTTCCGTCCTGTCGCTCCAGAGCAAGCGGAGGTTTTCCTTTTCAATCTGAGGTG